ATATTTTATTTGCTGACGGGAAGAAATGTCTGTTTCTGTGCCAAATATGAACAGCAAAAGGAGTGCTGGACCAGTGCTCAGCGGACCTTCGTACACTGGGCCAGTCGCCGGGGATGGCTGGCCGTGCTGAACCTCATGCGTCGAGGAGGAGTTGGGGTGGACGAATTGAACGCGTGCCACGAGGGTCTCACGGCTTTCCAGTATGCCAAGCGATACGGCGTCTCGCGGATAGTCAACGAAATGAAATTCCGCTATGTATGCTGTGAATCTCATCTTTTCCTGCTGTGATTTCAAATCAGCCCATTTTGTGTATAATATTTTGTGAACGATTTTTATTCACACTCCTGTAAAACTTCCGGCATTCCTGCTGCTTTGGGTATTTTTGATATTTTCTTCCTGCGCTTTTGTGCGAGGTTTCTCCTGAATTTTTGTATTTTTCATCTAGAGCAAGGATGTTTGTTATTTACTGTAATGTTCAGGTGGTATCTCACAATTTGACCCTAATCCATTGCTAAACATAGGACTGAATTTCAAAGCAGTCGAATTGCAAGACAACTGTGTAATTCAAAAATATCAATTTAAAAACACGCGAAAAAAGTGGCCAAAGCAGGTCAAATTGCGGGGGAAAGGGTCGAATTGCAAATCAACCTCCCTGCTAATTTGACTGTTCAATTGCAGGGCAGTCAAATTGCGAGGTACCACCTGTCGAAAATTCATGATTTTTGAAGGGAAGTGATTATAACTCGCTATAAAGAAGTGGCGATATAAATCATTATGTCAACACACTTTGTTGCCCTGCAAAAAATAAAAGCCTAAAATGGTATTTCAGGTAGCATAACAGAGTGCTGAGTATAGAGTGGTGCATCAAGTGCAACCAAAGCTAAATTATTTAGTCAACTGAGAAGTGCTATTTTTCAGCAGTAGTCATGATATTATCACAACATGTTATTTTTATTTGGCCTTGAAATTAAAAAAAAAAACACTATATGCTTGAAGAATAAGGACCACAATATTTCAATAAGGGAATCTCAATTTTACAACCAATTGTTTTCGTGGTCCCCATAGAGAGGTTCATTGTGATGAGATGTTATTATTGAATGAATGCGTATACTGTTCAGGGAGACCTGGTGCAAGACCAGGACACCGTCGTGATTCCAAGGACCCCCGGGCTCACCGCCAACGACGAGATCGACTTCGTTCTCAATCAACAAAACACCAACAGGAAGGTCATTATTGCGTCTGCTGCTGCTGCTGATGTAGAGAATGATGCCCCGTCGTCGTCGACACCCACAAATACTATTGTCAAACCTGACGACGACGATAATGACGATGCGATAGTGTTGCCATTGGCTGCAGGGACGCTGAACGGTGATGCGACCGATGAACTCGACCTCGTCGTCGCATCGGGTCATCATCCGGGTTACGGGTCAGCGCCGACGATGAGTGTGGACTCGTCTTCCCGATCCTCGAGTGCG